TTCCCGTTCTGGACTCGTACCTGTTGATTTTTTGCTTGAACAAAACACTTGAGGATAGCGCGCGCTTGGAGGTGTACACTGTGTACTCGGCCGATCTTGTCTCTCTCCGTACTCGACTACGGCTACGTACCCACTAAGGTTTTTCGGGTAAAGGATGGGAGGAAGGGATAGAATCCAACACCCCTTGACCCTTCAAATGGAAAAGAGCCTTGTCAGTGGCATTTTGCTCGTAAATAAATTTGCCTAAACCCAAAAAAGTGCTTAAAAGTTTTTAGGCTATTTTTCCTCCCGTCGTCAGGTAAAAGATACAAAAAGAATAAAGAAAAACTTTTTAAAATATCTAAACCTATCTACTACTGGAACAGTTTAGTTTTTTAATACAAACACAATGAGGTAAAACTAAAATTCTTAAAATGTCTGTATATAGAATATTTTTTTCTAAGATTTATAATATTTTTTGTTGTTTCACAAAATTAATAAATTACTATATCATACATTTAGGCATTATAAATAGTTTTTCTTTATTTTTTTGTTTTGCTTTTTGCTTCTGAAAACGAAGAAAGATGTTCTATTTCTTTTGCTAAAATTAAACTTAGTATTGAAATTTCAGTGGCAAAATACACAGATTTTTTTTAAGAAACTAAACCGCCACAAAGCTATAAACATAATTTAAAACAAACAAAATTACGATATGATAGATATCAATTAGTTCTGATGATACAGCATACACTTACTCTAGTTTATTATTAGGAACAATTGTTTTTCATTTTACTTCAATAATTTACTTAAGTTTCTAATCTGTGCATCAATCAACCATACTTAACCAATAACCGTTTAAGGTCACTCCAGACGAGGAATTTTGTGGAGATTTATAAATTTATAGATATGACAAGAGTCAATTATCAATTTATTGTGTTCATTTTCGCGAAAATCATAGGATGTTTGTCTGTATTCTAGTAAATTTTGTTCAAATTTACATAATATTAAAGAAATAAGTGAAACTGAATTCAAATTCTCAACGAAAAAAAAACGGGGTTCTTTTAGGAAGAATTCTATCTACGAGATATTCTGGTTTTTTGTAGAAACTTGTATTAAATTTCAACGACTTATAAGAAGAAAATTGAAGCAATTTTGACTTTCATATCAATTTACACAACCGAAATTCGGAACTTACAAACCGACACCACAAAATACCTAGTCGGGATTAATCTTTAAGACACGACACTACCCGGCAACACCGCGAGCTCAGGAACAGTCTAGACTGGACGGGCTTCCAGCGCCACCCGGTAGCAGGAACGGAGGACTGTGAGGCTGCATGCCGATGGAAGCGGGCCCTCCGGGTCCTCCGTACATCTCCATGTCGCTGATGCTTTCTGAACCCGAGCATTTCTCGCCGGATTTGCCCTCCTGCTTTAGCATCATCCGTCGCCATTTTGCTCTGGCGTTTTGGAACCAAACCTGAAACAAAGAAAAATACGTTAGGACCTTGTTAATACACATTATTTTTTGCCTATTCAGTCTAGTGAAATTGTAGGTACGCGGGGGAATTGTAGGTACGCGGGGGAAAAGGGAATTTCTTCTATTTATTATGTATTTTGGAGTGCTGAATTCGAATCTGAGGTTTGCTAACAAAATTTCGTTAAGGTACATGGAGAAAAATGCAAAAAAGTGGGAAAATTTTTATTTTTAACGGTTTTTTTTATTTATAATAATAATAGCTCCCGTATATAGCGTTTTACGCCTTGGGAGTAGCAAGGTACAGCTTGCCATACTAGAGCCGTTCGGTATACAAGGAAGGTAATGTGGCTAGCACTACGCTTCAGCCGTCTATTATTACCTCAGGATTGTGAATCCCAAGTACTCATTTAAGGTTGAGTCGACCAAAGTATTTTTATTTTAAATAAAAATAGTCGGCTGATGCAATGCCGGGTGTGGAATTCGAACCCACTACCTTGAGATTGGTAGACCAAACCAAACTAAAATTAATAGTTTTTATAATATTTAAATTTGTTTAAACAAATGTTAGATTGCAATGTGATAAAAAATTGTCAGACATGCCGTTGTTTCTGAAGTTGGCCAACTAAAATTTGGTAGGAGAATTTTATAGAGATATAAAAGAACGCCTATGTAAAAATATTTTAGTTAGATGCTACAGGGTGTTCAAAATATATTTATGAATTTCAACTAGTTAAAATTAAGAAATTTCAATTTTTTTAAATGGTACACCCTATATATTATCATTTTTTCTGATAGATTTTACAAAACTCTTCAACTTTTATTAAGTATGTCATATGCCTATTTTTAATAGTTTGTGATTTATTCCAATTTTTTCTCTTTTTACCCATATTTTTAATACAATTACGCCATGTGCCATAACATCATAGTTTCCATGACAAAAAGTAATATTTATCAAAATTTCATGTCTGATAAGCAAGTTAAGAACAAAATTTGAATTTTAGTTTAATTTGTTGTAATAAGTATAAATGGTAGAGATAATAGTTACAGATTCTCCTAAAAAAAATGAATTAGTCAATGTAACTGATATATACCAACAAGCCAAGAAAATTATATTTTTTTGGTTCAGTACTATATATTACATAGTACCACAGATAACATATAATCGTTATCTGTGATAGTACTTTGCTAAATACTATAAGATACATTATCTAGAAAACTTTTTCAGTGTGTAATGGGACGGTTTTGCGGCAGTAGTTATATTGGCTTTACAAAATGAATTATAAACCAAAATTACTTACTATGAGAAAAAAAAACTTTACTGTATGTCGAAGAAAATTCCTATGTCAGTAGTCTTCAACAATTAGGTAATCTAGTATTACCCTAATTTACGACTATTCCCACCGACGGAAAATCCAAGTGTCAACTTCCATAATATAGAAATACACCAAGAAATTCACGACTGCGATTTTAGTTTATTTGAGTAAAGTTAATTAATCTTAACTAATACTAACAATTGTAACTAATTATTAACCTACTTGTTAAAGATAAGTAATAAATAGATTTTTTTTTTGTCACGGCAACTATGATTTTATAGCGTAAATTGTATTAAAAATATGGGTAAAAATAGAAAATATTGGAATAAATCGCAAACTATTAAAAATAGGTATATGATATACTTAATAAAAGTTGAAGAGTTTTGTAAGATCTATCAGAAAAAATGATAATATATAGGGTGTGCGATTTAAAAAATTTGAAATTTCTTAATTTTAAATAGTTGATATTCATAAATATATTTTGAACACCCTGTAGCATTTAACTAAAATATCTTTAGATATACAGTAAAACCCCGGTTATCCGAGGTAACGGGGGGGACACCCTCCTCGGATAACTGAAAACTCGGATAATCCGGATTTATTAAAAAATAAGCACCAATACGTACTTTAAACGGTTTATTAACATGTAAACACATAAGTACCTACATATGTAGATACTATCTACATTATAAAACAGTGAAATAAGTATCTCTGTGCTGCTGTTTCATATTGCATCTTCTTTTTCTCGCTGCCATGTTTCTCCACCTGTTAAGAAGAAGCAAATCCGCTGGGGTTGCCTCTGATTGTTGTTCGATATACCTCAGAGCTGTTTCCAGAGAAGCAAAACCTTCTTGATGGGTAATCTTAGTGGAAGGCTGTTCATCCACCTCTTCGTCATAGTTATCGTCATCTGATTTTTCAGGTTCCCGAAAGGCTTTCGCTATTTCTTCAATATTCATTTCTTCTTCTAAATCATCTGCTGTAACCCATTCATCAACGTCTTGTCTTGTCACATTTTCGCAACCTTTTAAGTTTTGCATTAATTCTGATAAACTTTGTTCTTCTCTATAGACGTTGTTTCCAATCCAAATTTGTACAGGACATTTCCATCCAGAACTGCCGGTAAACCTATCTGTCTCTGGAAATTGCTTACTAATCGTTATTGCTTTCTGCTGCAAAATGGGACCTGACAGAGACACATCTTTTGATCTTTGCTGAGTAAACCACCTGAATAAATCTTCGTTAACTTTTTCATAGTCGCCTTTTTTATTGATTTTCTTCGACGAAGAGGCTTGTTTTATACACCATTCTTCTATTTTAGTGCGGTTTCTGTTCCAATCTCCAACTGTTACCTCACCTACCCCATAATCTCGTGCAACAATTTTAATTGTCTCTCCTGCTTGAATTCTCCTAATTGCTTTTAATTTATCTTCAATAGAAACGAGAATTCTTTTACGTTTGTTGCGTTCCATTATAATACGACAAACGAAAATTTAAACAAAGCAGTTGGTATACACTTAACTAGAACTCCACCCAGATAAATCATGCGAGTACATACGTATGCTACTTCTCCGTAGTGAACGCAATAACGAACTGCATTCACTCAAATTTACATGCTAAAAGAGTCCAAAAATATAAATAAGGAGAACCATTCACACGAGCCAAGGGGATACCCTGTCCGTCCCAACGATTTTAAACGGAAATATGTAAATATACTTATACATATAGTATATTTTAGAAGCTCGGTTAATACGGACCATAGACGCGCGACCTCGGATAATCAAGGTCTTTAGATTGGATCGGTTAATCCGGAGCTCGGATAATTGCGACTCGGATAATTGGGGTTCTACTGTATATTTTTTTCATCTCTATAAAACTCTCCTACCAAATTATGGTACTCCAATTTCAGAAACAATGGCACCACTGACAATTTTTTTGACAATTTTTTACCACACTGCAATTTAACATTTGTTTAAACAAATTGAAATATTACAAAATCTATTAATTTTAGGTATATAACATATGTAAAAAAGTTATGAAATTTTAAGCAGAATCTAAAAATAAAATAAAAAATAGGATGTTGCATTTAAAAAAAAACATATGTTATATTCGCCCCACTTTTTTGAAGCACCCTGTATACTCCATAATAATTTTAAAATGTGTATCTTAACCATCCCTATAACTTTTATATTTAATATTTTTTTGCAAACCTCGAAACAAATGAGATAATGGACTTTACTCTATCGTTGACACCCTGTACAGATAGAAAACAGAACTATAATTACAATCTAACCACACTTTTCCAACGAATTGTCATCGTAAAACATTTAGTTAATGATTTTTTGCGATTCGAGCTTAGTTTCTATTCTCATTTTCTTTTGTAATTTTTAATAGTTACTCTAAGAATATTGTGGAAGCACTAAGGGTAGGTATAGAATCATCGACAAAAATTCAAAGAAAGCAATCTACTGCAATAACATTTACTGAGTCCATAGTGCCTACTGTCTCACAGAAGGATGCCGATATTCATATTACAAAAAGCACTTACGTTGGCCTTATTAAATAATTACGTCACAATAAGGGAGAGATATATATTCATCTTTTGGTTATTTTGATTGGACCTGTAGCCCTGATATTAAGAATGTCTTCTTCCTAGGACTTCCTAAAGCAGCATAATATGGTAACTGTGACAAAATTTAGGCCATTAGAGATGTAAGCCATATTTATAGGCATAATTGGTCCTGTAAATTACCGACGATTTTAAAAATGCGAAATATCAGACTGCGACTTCTGAAGACACTTTGGACTATTTTAAAAGTAATATTGTAACAAAAATTAAAAAAAAATAAACAAAAGAGGTGTTTATAGTGTACCTGGTATGCCAAAGCAAAAACAATTTTTCAAATTAAGAGTTAGTAATATTTATTTGCTAATATGATTTTACTGTTTTTTGTTTATTCTATTTTATAAAGATGTTTAATACGTTGTATTCACTAATAATACTTATGTTATTATTATTGAGTTTTTTGGAATGTTTGCAATTTCTAAATAAAATCTTGTAAAAAACAATGGTTTTTGTGTGAAATGACACATCTATAAATATGACGAAAATTGGGACAAGCTAGTGACGATATAGGTGAGAGCTGAGTTTTTTTTAGTTTTTCTTGAAAATAATCAAAAACGTCAGTCAAATTACTAAAGTTTTATTCAAATTTGGAATTAAAATGTCCCCTAGTGGCATCTTTAATTTTCTTGTAAGCCTTACACTAATAATTCGGATTTTATGGATCACTGAACTAATATATTCCCTTAATGTGACGATAATTGGGATATTTACTAAGTTCATTACAACCTTCTAAATAAAAAAGACGTTTTTCCTTTAGATATAACCTAAAAAAACTTCTTCGAGATCCTTCGAAAGCAAAAGAAAACACTCCTTACTTCCATCCCAGCCTCTCGAATAACTCACCTAGCCCTCATAAAAAGCGGGTTTCAAATCGCTTTTTCCCCACCCTACCCTCTGTATCCACCCCATTTTATTCCCTTTCCTGTCCCCCTTTTTCGAGGGGGAGCGATTTTCATCCTCAGTCGGCAGACGACCGGCTCCAATTACTCGGGCCAACGGCAGCTCTCCCCCCGACAACTCCCCCTCGCTCCCATCTCTTCCCCTAATCCCCGGGGGGTTCT